AACAAAAATTAAAAAAAACAAAGTTTGCAGAAGGAAAGAAATCATAAAGATCAGATCAGAAATGAAAAGAAATGAAGGGAAAAATAGCAAAAATCAGTAAACATAAAGCTGATTCTTTGGGAAAAAAAGAATTCATAAACGTATAGCCAGACTCATCACACACAGAAAAGAAGACTCAAATCAGCAGAATTAGAAATGAAAATGAAGGAACAACTGACACTGCAGAAATATAAAGGATCATGAGATTACTACAAGCAACTATATGCCAATAAAATGAAAAACCTGGCAGAAATGGAAAAATTCTTAGAAAAGTAATACCTTCCAAGACTGAACCAGGAAAAATAGAAAATATGAACACACCGATCACAAGCGCTGAAATCGAAACTGTGAGCAAAAATCTTCCAACAAACAAAAGCCCAAGGCCAGATGGCTTCACAGGTGAATTCTATCGAATATTTAGAGAAGAGCTAACACGTATCCTTCTCAAACTCTTGTAAAATATAGCAGAGGGAGGAACCCTCCCAAATTCATTCTATGAGGCCACCATCACCCTGATACCAAAACCAGACAAAGATGTCACAAAAAAAGAAAACTATAGGCCAATATCACTGATGAACATAGATTCAGAAATCCTCAACACAATACTAGCAAACAGAATCCAACAGCACATTAGAAGGATCACACAGCAGGATCAAGTGACATTTATACCAGGAATGCAAGGATTCTTCAATATAAGCAAATCAATCATTGTGATTCAGCATATTAACACATTGAAAGATAAATCCATGTGATAATCTCAATAAATGTAGAAATAGCTTTCGACAATATTCAACACCCACTTATGATAAAAACTCTCCAGAATGTGGGCATAGAGGGAACCTTCTCAACATAATAAAGGCTATATATGACAAACACACAGCAAACAGCTTTCTCAATGGTGAAAAACTGAAACAATTTCCCCTGAGATCAGGAACAAGACAAGGTTGCCCACTCTCACCACTATTATTCACCATAGTTTATGAAGTTTTAGGCACCGCCATCAGAGAAGAAAAAGGAATAAAAGGATTCCAAATCGTAAAAGAAGTAAAACCGTCACTGTTTGCAGATGACATGATACTATACCTAGAGAATATTAAGGATGCTACCAGAAAACTACTAGAACTAATCAATGAATTTGGTATAGTAGAAGAATATGAAATTAATGCACAGAAGTCTCTTGCATTCCTATACAGTAATGACAAAAAATCTGAAAGAGAAATTAAGAAAACACTCCAATTTACCACTGCAACAAAAAGAATAAAATACCTAGGAATAAACCTACCTAAGGAGACAAATGACCTATACAAAGAAACTGTAAGAAACTGATGAAAGAAATTAAAGATAATACAAACAGATGGAGAGATATACCATATTCTTGCACTGGAAGAATCAACATTGTGAAAATGACTGTACTACCTAAAGCAATCTACAGATTCAATGCAATCCCTATCAAAATACGAATAACATTTTTCACAGAACTAGGATGGAAAATTTTACAACTTGTATGGAAACAAAAAGACCCTGAATAGCCAAAGCAATCTTGAGAAAGAAAAATGGAGCTGGAGGAATCAGGCTCCCTGACTTCAGACTATCCTACAAAGCTATGGTAATCAAGACAGTATGGTACTGGCACAAAAAATAGAAATATAGTTAAATGGAACAGTATAGAAAGCCCAGAGATAAACCCACACACATATGGTCACCTTATCTTTGATAAAGGAGGCAAGAATATACAATGTAAAAAAGACAGCCTCTTCCTTAAGTGGCCCTGGGAAAACTCGAGAACTACATGTAAAAGAATGAAATTAGAACACTTCCTAACACCATACGCAAAAATAAACTCAAAATGGATTAAAGACCTAAATGTAATGCCAGACACTCTCAAACTCTTAGAGGAAAACATAGGCAGAACACTCTATGACATAAATCACAGCAAGAGACTCTTTGACCCACCCCACCTCCTAGAGAAATGGAAATTGAAACAAAAATAAACAAATTGGACCTAATGAAACTTAAAAGCTTTTGCACAGCAGAGGAAACCATGAACAAGACAAAAAGACAACCCTTAGAATGGGAGAAAATTGTTGCAAACCAAACAACTGACAAAGGGTTAATCTCTGAAATATACAAGCAGCTCATCCCACTCAATATCAATAAAACAACCCCATCCAAAAATGGGCAGAAGACCTTAATAGACGTTTCTCCAAAGAAGATATACAGATTACCAACAAACATATGAAAGAATGCTCAACATCACTAATCATTAGAGAAATACAAATCAAAACTACAATGAGGTATCACCTCACACCAATCAGAATGGCCATCATCAAAAAATCCACAAACAATAAATGCTGGAGAGGGTGTGGAGAAAAGAGAAGCCTCTTGCACTGTTGGTGGGAATGTAAATTGATACATGACTATGGAGAACAGTATGGAGGTTCCTTAAAAAACTAAAAATAGAACTACCATATGACCCAGCAATCCCACTACTGGGCATACACTGTGAGAATACCATAATTCAAAAAGAGTCATGTACCACAATATTCATTGCAGCTCTATTTACAATAGCCAGGACATGGAAGCAACCTAAATGTCCATCAACAGATGAATGGATAAAGAAGATGTGGCACATATATACAATAGAATATTACTCAGCCATAAAAGGAAATGAAATTGAGTTATTTGCAGTGAGGTGGGTGGACCTAGAGTCTGTCATACAGAGTGAAGTAAGTCAGAAAGAGAAAAACAAGTACCGTATGCTAACACGTATATATGGATTTAAAAAAAAAATTCTGATGAACCTAGGGGCAGGACAGGAATAAAGATGCAGACACAGGACTTGAGGACACAGGGAGTGGGAAAGGTAAGCTGGGACGAAGTGAGAGGGTAGCATTGACATATATATGCTACCAAATGTAAAATTGATAGTTATTGGGAAGCCACCGCATAGCACAGGGAGATCTGCTCTGTGATTTGTGACCACCTACAGTGGTGGGATAGGGAGTGACAGAGGGAGACGCAAGAGGGAGGGGATATGGGGATATATGTATGCATATAGCTGATTCCCTTTGTTATACAGTAGAAACTAATACAACATTGTAAGGCAATTATACTCCAATAAAGATGTTAAAAATAATAGCAAAAACTACCTCGAACCTACAGCAGAGCAACAACAATACAACACACACACACAAATAAAGAAAAAAATAAATAAAAATACCAATAGAACAAAGAAACAAAAGAATTTAAAAATGAGAACAGTTAGGACTAGACTAACATAAACAAAAAATTAAAAATAAAAATATAGAGCAAACAAATAATGCAAAAAAACATAAAATATACACATAAAACAATCAAAAAAATAAAAATAAATAAAAAACAAAGAACACAAGAAAAAAAACTCTAACACAACAAAAAAGTAAATTAAAAATAGAAAAATTAACATATATCTTTAAAACTTTTTAATTAAAAATAAAAGAAAAAATAATAAATGCAACACCACCAACAACTGAATAAAATGAAACAAACAAAAATGAATAATAGTAATAATCATATTTTCCTGGGGCCTCCTCTGTTAGCGTCCTTGCTCCCACAGTGAGCCAGAGCCAATCTCCACCTCCCCTGGAAGCCCTCCAATACCTATAGGTGGGTCTCTGGACCTGCTGTGGGCACTGTGGGGCCAGCTCACACTCTGACCTGGCCCGACTCCCACGTTTACTTACCCCCCATAGTCCACTCCTAGGAAGCCTAGACCAGTCTCTGTTGTGGGACCACTCGTCCATTCAGGTATTCCACAGACACAGGATTTACCAAGCTGATCTCGGAGATTTAATCTGCGGCTTGTGCAGCTGCACAGAAAGATTTCTGTTTGTGTTCCTTAGTTGCACTGCCTCTGGGGGTTCCAGCAGTTATTTGCCCATTTGGCAGAAGTTCTAGTGTTAGTAAATGAATTTTCATTACTATACAGTCTAGGTGCTCTTTATTTTATTTTTATTTTTTTAATTTTTATTTTATGTTGGAGTATATTTGATTAACAGTGTTGCATTAGTTTCAGGTATATAGCAAAGTGATTGAGTTATACATAAACATGTATCTATTCTTTTCCAAATTCTTTTCCCATTTAAGTTATTACAGAATATTGAGCAGAGTTCCCTGTGCTATACAGTAGGTCCTTGTTGGTTATCTATTTTAAATACAGCATTGTGTACATGTCAATCCCAAACTCCCAATCTATCCCTCTCCCCAACGCTTCCCCCCAGTAACCATAAGTTTGTTTTCTAAGTCTGTGAGTCTGCTCTTTAACCTGCTGGGTTTTATGTTTTTCCTGTTTCCCAAGGTAGGTGAGTCTGTGCCTATGCCCCCCAGCAATACCTATCCCTACTGCAAATTGCTACTACAGAGGTGTGGTTCCCACATATACCATGTCTCCACCTTTAGCTCTCATTTCTATCTGGTCATTTTATGTGCAATGGCTGTTCAATCAGCCCTCAAGAATTGCTCTCTATATAGGTGTAGATTTGGTGTGTCTATGGTAGGAGGTGAGCTAAGGGTATTCCTATGTCACTATCTTGGACACCTCTCCTCCCAAGATGTGTAATTTAATACATATTTTTTGACACAGCTGTGTTGCCTAGATATGCTCCAGCATGAATGAGTTCTGCTTGCCATAACTCTTTTCTCCTCTGAAACCTTCCTAGCCAGGAAGACACTTATAGATGGTTTAGTCCTACTCTTCTCCACCCTCCATTTTATGGATAGGTCACCATAGGCCTAGAGAGGAATAGACTCATGCCTAGGACCAGCAAGTCACCCTAGAGCCAGGCCAGGCATTCAGTTTAATAGGGCTCTGATTGAAGGTTCTCTGAATACCTGAATAATTTAGTTTGTCCTTTTTCTTCTTGTCTGAAAACTTCTCAAAGAAGGAAGCTGACCTGTTATTCTTCTTCTTCCTGCCTCTACAGCTCTGGGTGAACCAGGAGGATGGGGTGGAGGAAGGGCCCAGTGACGTTCAGAATGGGCACCTGGACCCCAACTCAGACTGCCTTTGTCTGGGCCGGCCACTCCAAAACCGGGACCAGATGCGAGCCAACGTAATCAATGAGATCATGAGCACCGAGCGTCATTACATCAAGCACCTAAAGGACATTTGTGAGGTAGGCCCAGCTATGATGGTGCATGTGAGGGCACTCAGGGTGGGGTAGAGGGCACTTCCATGAAGAAATGACAAGCTTCCTGGGCCGTACCTGTGAAAATCCCAAGATATTAGGAAACACAGCTTGACTAACCTCGTAGATTCTGTTCTGTGGGTGAGACTCCTCCCTTGGGGTTTCTCAGTCTCTCTGTTTATTTCTCCCCTTTTTGCTATCTACCTGTCTGTCTAACTTTCATATTCATATTCCCTTTCCCCACCCTCTCTCTCTGCCTCCCTCTGTCCCCTCTGCCGGAAACTCTATCCCTATCCTCTTGTTTTCTGATCCAGTTGTTGCCACCCCATGTAAGGGCCTGACTTCATTACAGCAAAACACATTTCCTGCCAAGCCAGTGGTTTACAAACTTGAGTGTGCACCAAAGTCCCTGGGCTAGCTTGTTAAGCATGCAGATTCCAGCCCTCTTTGACCCCACCCCCCACGCAAAGTTGTGAATTCTCAGCCTGGGATAAAACACGGAAATCTCTATGTTTTGCAAGTATCCCTGGTAATACTTGTCTTCCACTATGCCACTCTGCCCTCCAGGGACTGTGGCTCCACATTGTCTAACTCCATCCCTTCCATCTTTCTGACCTGAGTGAGGATGAGAACCTTTTTTTTCTCACACTGCCTTGAGTCCAGCAGAGACAAGTTGGCATTTTCAAAGGACCTTTTACTAAACGGTATGAGAAAACCAATGAGAGATAGAGAAAATAATGTTTTTAGAAGGATTTCTCTCCCCCCCTCCCTCTCTCTCACACACACACACTATAGCGTTATGCTTGACCCAGTGAAAAACTCTACCTTGAATATTTTCATCCCCTTTATTCCAGATAAGAGATCAGGTCCTACTTTCTGTCCTCCAGCCCTACTGATTAGGTCCAGGACCCACTCTGTAATCAATGGTATAGCTCTGACATTTTTCAAAGTTCTTGTTTCTTTAGAGCAGTGCTGCCTAATAGGAAGCAGTGCTTCCTGCAGTGATGAAAATGTTCTGTGTCTGCAGTCTCCATTACAGTAGCCACTGATCAGATATCTGTGGCTGTTGAGCACTTGAGATGTGGCTAGTATGACTGAGAAATGGAATTTTAAATTTTATTTCATTTTAATTTAAATAGCCACACGTGACTAATAGCAACCACATCGGACAGTGCAGCTCTGAAAAGATCAAGACCATGGACTTTGGGCCTTAACTTTCTTCACCTAAATTCATTTTTTCACCCCTTCCAGACAGGTTAAAGGTTATCTCCTCCCCCTTCCCCAAGGCAGTAAGGTAGGGTAGAAAGAACAAGGGCTCTGTGGACATGGAGTGCTGGCTTTCACATCTTAACTTAGTCACTAATTAACCCTGTGGCCTTGAAGGTGCCTCTTAACTCCTCTAACCTTTGATTTTATGACTTGTCCAGTAGGCTTCATTTTACCAACCTCTTAACTTTATTGAGGAAATGAAGTAAATCTAATATTGTAAGTATTTGGGAAAAGGTAGTTTTCCTTTTCTTCCTTCCCTTTTCATCTATTCACCTATCCATCATTGTCTCTCTTTTATCTTTTTCTGTTCCTCCTACCTCCATACAAATGGTTGATATATTTTTTAATTACCCTCTCGAATATGTTACGTGGCATTGGGCATCAAACCGCTGATATGTCATTCATTCCACAAACATTTAGTGGAGTTCTGCTCCATGCTAGGCCTTGGACATAGCTCCTACACTCAAACTGTTCTGCCTTAGACCAATAGCATCTGAATCACCTGGGAGCTGGTTAGAAATGCAGAATCTTTAATTCCACTCCAGACCTGAATTCAAATCTACATTTTAACAAGGTTCACATTTGACTTACAATACATATTAAAGTTTGAGGAGCACTGCTGTAAAATGATAGCTATCTTACACTATTTATAATATCAGGACATGGAAGCAACCTAAATGTCCATTAACAGAGGAATGGATAAAGAAGATGTGGTACATATATAAATGGAATATTACTCAGCCATAGAAAAGAAATAATGCCATTCACAGCAACATGGATGGACCTAGAGATTGTCATACTGAGTGAAGTAAGTCAGACAGAGAAAGAGAAACAACATATGATATCACTTGTATGTAGAATCTTAAAAAAGGCTACAAATGAACTTATCTACAAAACAGAAATAGAGTTACAGGTGTACAAAATACATTTATGGTTACTGCAGGGTAAGGCAGGGGATGGATAAATTGGAAGATTGGGATTGACACATACACACTACTAATAGAATAGATAACTAATAAGGACCTACTGTATAGCACAGGGAACTCTACTCAATATTCTGTAATGGCCTATATGGGAAAAGAAGCTGAAAAAGAGTGGATATATGTATATGTATAACAGATTCACTTTGCTGTACACCTGAAACTAACACAACATTGTAAATCAACTATACCTCAATAAAAAACGTTTTTAAATGATAGCTATCTTATAATGTCATAAGGTCTATAATACAAGTTAGTACAGTCTGGTCTTTACCCAGCAGCCAAGGGATGGTATCAATACCTAAGTCCTTCATATCACTCCTCTGCTTAAAACTTTCCAATGGCTCACCTTTCCTTCCTGAGTAAAAGCCAAAATTCCCATTATTACTTACAAAGCCCTGTGTGATCAACCCTTCCTTACCTCTGTGACTTCATCTCTTGCTCTTTTCCCACATGCTCTCACTACTTTAGCCACATGGCCTAATTGCTGTTCCTTAAAAAGGCCTGACACACTCCCCCCTCATAGCCTTTCCACTGGCTTTCCCTTCTGCCTAAATCACTATTCCCTCAAATGTCTATGTGGCTCCATTTCTCACCTCCTTCAAGGCTTCACTCAAATATCATCGCCTTGAGACCTTCCCTGACTATTCTATCTAAAATTGTAACCATGTACTATCTTGTTTTATTTTTCTCCATTGCACTTACTGCTTTCTGACTTATTATATATTTTGCTTTTATGTTTTGTTTATTGCCTTTCTCCCCTACTAGAAAGTAAATTCCATGAGGGAAAGGGTTTTTTTTTTATTGATTTACTGATACATCCTCAACATCTAGCACAGTGCTTGGCAGATGGTAGATGCTCAATAACTACTTTTGGAAGTTGGAATTAAATATAAGTGCTCACATGCATGTACTATTTTGGCAAAGTACATTCACATCTTATGCCATTTGATTTTCAGACAGGAAATAGGTTGTTATTGTTATTCCTATTTTCTAGATCAACAGTCTGAGTCTCTAATAGGCAAAATTACTTTCCCAGAGTTCTCAGGCACTGACCCAGTGGGAGTCTTAGTCTTAGAAGGATTTTGTTCCCAACTACCAAACATCTTGGCCTCTTCCTACAGGGCATGGGCTCAGAACAGCAATGCAAGTATTTATCCTTCCAAAAGAGAGAGTACTATGACCCTGTTTTGAGGAATTGCCTAATCCAGCCAACCTAAGCAAAGCTTTTGTTGGTGTTCTGCAAGTTTCATATCTCTTTATTATTCTTGATGCTGAAGCTAAGAGTTTAAATGGGAATGGGAAGTATCTCTTTGTCCCATCCTTCAACCACAGATGTCAAAGGAACGTTTAGCTAGAGCAAAAGAAGGGTAGAGAAAGCTGTGTCTTGATGGGCCAGAAGGCAGTATTTTAGCTCAGGGTTGTGTTACCTAAACCAAAAGCTATGGGAACAATATGATTTATAAGAAGAATATCAAAACCAGAATTGGGAGTTCCAGGTTCAGGTCCCACCTTAGTCACAAACTGACTGAGGAATGTCAGGTGAATCTTTTCCATCCTGGACCTTGTTCCCCAACTCTAAAATTAGCAGGTTGGTAGAGTTGCTCTTTAAGTGTTGTCTGACTCTTACTTTCTCTGATTCTGTGAGATCTAGGTATGCTTTCACTAAAGAACGCTGTGGTAGTGATCCATGATTCTGCATGTTTTGCCATTTCCTCCTTGATACCCATGGAGGCATGTCTTACTCAGGCATGAATGTGTTAACAAGGCATAATCTACTCTTTCTGTAGGTTAAGGGAGATCACTTAATACTGCATTCAGTATAGGAAAAAGTCACTATCTATTAGAAAATATTTATTAATTAATTTATTTATTCATTCATTCATTTATTAATTACTCCTGGGAACAGAAAATGCCTCACAAACATTTAAGTTACAATACCTTCATTTTACAAATGAGGAAGTAGGAAATAGAGTTATTTTTATCAAAGTTATTCAGTGAAGCCAGTAAAAGAAAATATATTTTTTAATGAGTTCTCTGAAAAGATGACATTCTTCTTTCTAAATCCAGACAGTGGGATAAAAGAGTACTGGCTTAATTCTAGGTCACCTTGACCAATGATTGGTGATATTACCTCTTGTAATCTTAGAAATAATATTATGATCAGGGAGACTGAGACACAGGGCAAGCAAAGTTAAATATGCCTTATAAAGTTGCCTCATCTGCCTCTCTGAGGAAGATCATCTCAGTCATCTGATATCTATGAAATAAATTCTGTCCTCAAATGCGTCCAGAAAAGCTGGAACTAGCTTTCCTCAGTCATTCGTATTACTGTCTTATACCCTTCACCATCAAGAAATTCTTCCTAGGTCTAATAGAGTTTATCATACTATAGCTTCAAGACATTTGCATTTGATATGTTTAAGCCTGGAGTTTTCAAACTTACTGTTTTTTTTTCTTTCTGTTAATTGCCTATTCTGATGATTTCCAATGGTCTTTACATCTTGGTGTATACATCGAAAATAATACATTGTATAAAACAGTAATATTTGTATAGCATACTAAAGTAAAAGGATGAGGCAGCTCATTGGCCTGAAGTGACCAGCCCAGGGATTTCTGGCTGCTCTAGGCCCTACCTATCTATACCACCTGGACATTCGAGGCCCTGTTCCCATCCTTTGCCCATTTTCCCATTGTTTCTCATATTTTTCTTGCTGATTTATAGGAGTTCCTTGTATA